TTTGTCCATTTAACTTCTCCTTTAAGATGAAAGAATACATACTGAAGAATCCTATCCCTTATGTTACTGAATAAGGCATGCCTATAGATTAATTCTGTTTGGGGTGTTTGATTGCTCAATTAAATTAGATGCAGAATAGGAAAAGGCAAATTGAATTACTGTGCCTTTATCCATCTGCAACACTCAGCCATCTCACTTAAAGGAACAGAGAATGCTGCATGGAAAAATATTTTTCTTGACTGTGGACTCTCCTCCACAGAGAAAAAGGAACATCCCTTGTCACTGAATTTTTGCTCTGGATTAGTTAACCTGGCTTCTGCAGGGTCAGAGCTAAACTCCAGGGGTGCTCACAGCAGGTGTGAAATTGCTAAATCCTCCCTCCTCCCAGCCCACTTGCTTCATTACCTTCACTGAAAAGTCAGTGCAACTAAAGAGCCTTTTTGTCCTGGCCATTTTCCAGCTGGTCATGTTTGCTGCTAAAGAAATGGTATCTGGGGTGGTTTGTTCCCCTTCTGGGTGTCTCCTACTTCACTGCACTCAAGGCCTTTTTTCTGGTGGTAACATTCTTCTGCAAGAATATTCTCCACTCTTTCTGCATTATTGCTACAGGCCTATCTGTTAAATCTTAAATACTAATGAATCATTAAAAAGGGTATTAACATATTTGCTGGCCTCATATGTGCGTCTTATTCTTCACAGTTTTATAGCAATTTCTATTAAAAACCTCATTACAGAGATTATTGTGACATGCTTTGAAACAGCAACATTCATTACATATTATCTATGGATTGGAATTTGGGAAATTAATGCACCAGGAAATGAAATGACTCACCCAGGGTCTCTGAAAATGTATGTTCAACTCATGATTAAAATCCAAGCTGTAGATCTGCATTGTGTTTGCTGCACAATCTTTTTTTGCTTTTTCTCTTTTTTCTTTAAACCACATCAGTTTTACATTTAGTTGGAAAATTCCACTGTGCTGCTTTTGTTGTCAAAGCATAATTGACATTTAGCCAATTACTTTAGTTAAATGTGGCTTGTTTGAGAGCATTCCCTCCCTCTACTTGGGAGTTCAAAGCATGGAGAGAAAATGGGATAACTGGGAGAGAAGAGCTGGGCTGTGGGGAAGGATGGGCAGAGAAATGGAGAGGCAGAGACCAAAGAAGTGCTCAGGTGATGGAGTGACTGTGGCATGTGCTGCTGCTGCTGCTGTGAGTCTTGTATCCACAAATGGTCAGAGTGACATGGATTTTCCAGCCTTTCAGTTTGGGTGGCGTAGGGGGAAAAGAGGGATAGAGGGAAGGGAGAAATGAAGAGAGGCTGTGAGGCAGCTGCACATTGGGATTTTCCTCACATTACCTGCTCTGGTGTGCCCACTGCCCAGGTGGGTAGTGTGGAAATGGTAGATATTTATTATCATAGACACACCCTTTGTAAAAATATGATGTTTTATGTGTCTATTTCCAAACTGTATGAGTTGAATCAACTCTCACAGTGCCCAGAGCTTTCTGGTTTGTGTCTTGCAGATGTGTTGCCCTTGTCTCTCCAGGGGACTTGTCCTGGTGTCCAGAGGGGACTTCAATTGCAGCCTTTAGGGGGGAGACCCAGCAATGCCCTGGCTACAGGGTATTTTTTTATCAGGGATGATGAGGGATCCTGTCCTTGGGGCCAGCTGCCCAAGAATTCTTGACATTTTCAGTAATTTTATCTGTTGTAGTGCAAATAAATGTCCTTAGACATCAACATATCATCAATACTTAGTTATCACAAGAAGTTAGAAATTTATTTCTTAACTTCTGTTTTCCTTTCAATGCCAGATGGAGAGAAATGAACAAGAAATTCAGAGCAATAAAATTGCAATTTTCTGTATAGGCAGATAAGTGAAGAATAATTTTCATTTAAGGGAATATGTCTTCATTTTGGAGATATCCTGAATATATCTTAGCTTTGGTTTGAGGAAACAGATTGTTGGAAAAAATTCATTTGTAATAATAATCGTAAAGAAATTAACATATGCTTATATTTTTCATTCCACTTTAGATTTTGTGGAACACAACTCATCTGTAAACTACTATGTGCACATGTATTATTGCATAAAGAATAATATTTCAGGGTAGAGATGTACTTTCTTTTTTTTGCCTCTTCTGCAACTGCAATGTGAGAACTGCTAGCCAGAAGGTTGAAGATTTAAATGTGGGATCCATATAGTTCCAATGTAGCAGATTTAAAGGCTGTAATGCCACAGAGCATCCAGGAATCTGACCAATTTGACTCATAAATCCTTTCAAATACAAAATCTGCAGTATAGTATCTGAAGCGTCCCATTTCCTGCTTTTCTTATCAGTAATGCTTCTGTGTTTCCTGAGACAAGCTAAATGTAAGTTAATCTTTTGATCTGTTTGAAAAGATAACTTTGTCATGCAAATAAAATGAGGCTCAGTCTCCAGTTCTATTCTCATCCATTTAGATTTTTATACTGAGCATCAGAGGGAATACTGACTATCTAGGTGTACCTTGTGAATCCAGATTTTGGATTACCCATGACAATTTCAATTGCTCAATTAAAATGTTAAGTAAGTATTACTTTTAGGAAATAGGAAACTGCTTTAAAAAATTGTGTCCTATTATAAGACTTTATTAATCCTCAAAGCCTGCACTGCTGTGAAGTTCCAGTACTTGAGGAAATTCCCAAAAAATTGAAGTAACTGCAATAAAAACAATATACAAACAAAGAAACTAAGTCTGTAACAATTTTAATGAGAAGGTGGTTGTGTTAAAAATAATTTGGAAAACTAAGCTCAGGAGTTTAACAAAATATTTTGCATAAAATATTTTTCTGTATTTTAAGAATTTTTTTTTATTTGTAACATATCTGGTGAATCTGTGAGTGTGGTGAGGCACAGGAGTAGTTTTCCCTGAAAAGTTGTGGAAGTCCCATCCCTGTAAACATTCAAAGACAGGTTGGATAAGGCTCTGAGCAATCTGGTCTAGCGGAAGATGTCCCTGCCCATGGCAAGTGGGTCAGAACCAGATGGTCTTTAAGGTCCCTTCCAGCCCAAAGCATTGCATGATTCTGTGGTTCTATGATTCTATGAATTCAAGGTATACCACTTCCTCATAAAACAGAATCCCAATCCTGTTTAGGGGAACACAGTATCAGCCACAATTTCACTTACTACAACAGCGAACTTGATTTCCCACACAGGGAAAAATAGAAAATCACTTGCAAAAGCAAATAAAATCGCAAGGAAAGAAAAAAGAAAAAAAAAAAGTCAAGGTTTATTGACATATCACACTGAAATTCAATTTTCTTCTTCCCCACAGAGTCACTCTCTGTAAGAAGAAAATTTAAAAATACTTGAAATTTCTGTGAAAATTGTTGCAGATAACAAGAAGACAAGAATCATGTCAGCTTAAGAGATTGAGAATAGTAACCTTTATAAGTATTTTCTAAATTTTGACAAAAAGATACATTACTAATCATATATTTATATAAGTATATTCCCTTTTATTTGTTTCTAAAAGTAAATTCAGGTAGTACAGCTTTTTGAGTTAAAAAGTTGTATACAGTAGAATTTCCTCATTCATCATTCGGTGGATTCTGTTGGTAAGGTCAAGTAGAAATAAGTGTGACTGTAACAATGTGTAATTACGGTTGCAAAATGGAGTAATTGGAAAAATTGAAAATTGTAGAATCATTTAGGTTGCAAAAAGAACTGTACGTTGTATCATCATAAAAGATGCCTGGTTTTGTACAGATAAATATATGCACATTTTGACTTCCAGTCAGGTTGTTGTGGAAGGCGTTTTGAGCAGCTGTGATGATGAGTCCTTCTCTAGCTATGTGCAGGCTATTATTCACCTGAAATATTAACTTCTGTTGTCAGCTTTTGTTCAAATTACACTTATTTATTCATTAGAGAATTTTAATGGGAAGATTCAAGGTTACTTTTGACTTCAAATTAGTCATATTGTTCCAATTTCAAGCAGCTCCATAAAAATGTGGTTTGCCAAAGTGCAAAAATACTTGCAGTTGTCCCAGGAAAAATCCATTAAAAATGTAAGAGAGAAGCTTGTTTTGACAAATTTCAACATGAGTCATGAATACTCAGGATTCTTACACCTTTGAACACGAATTTTCAAGCTGCATAATTTTGATCCCAAAATAATACCTCATGACATATTATCACAAATAAATCCTCCGACCTTAAGATGCTACTTTTTATAACTAGTCACCAATTTATGACCTATAGGAACTGTCTTATCTTCTCTTTAGATTATTTTAATACCTGAAGAATAGATAAATGTTGAACTGTGGTGTCTGAAAAAACATCCCAGTTCATTTTGGATACATAGCCTGGAAAATTTGTGTTTTCTTCTGGTGATAAACCCTGAAGATCCCTGCTTCATCAGTTATTATAGTATCCATGCATATTGCAATAGATTCATTGGTAATGAAAACTTTATTCTGAGATTGATTTTGGTGGGAATTTAGACAATTTCTGATGCAACTGCACTGAGGCCAAAAACTTGGTGTTTCTCAGAATGTGAAAGCAAGAAGCACATGGTGTTTTTCATATTCCAAAAGTGAAAATATCCTGTCAGGAGGGCACTAGATGTGCAGAGATTGAGTAAAATCATGTCACACTGTAGTCACTGATTCCACGTTCTTTGAAAGGGACTACATAGTTCTTTTTATTATTGGCCTGCAGTTTTGTGGAAGTAAGGTTGCTTTCTTATTCCTAATTTGCATTTTTTTTAATCATATCACCGCAGACATAATCAAAATTCACTCATGGAGCTTGGACAAATTTTAGCAGTTCAATGACACTCACAAATTAAAAGTAATAATAATTTGTAGATTTTGGGGGTTTTTTCAGCAAATTTTTTTTGCAGTGTTTTGCTTGTAGTGGTACCAAAGTTTTTCTGGGTTTCTCTATGAATCTAGTTTTCAGTTATGTTAATACTGACACTGAATTTCTGTGTGTGCTTTAGCCAACATGGAAGCATAGTTTGCAGATTCATCTGCAAAGCTTACTGAGAAAGTGAAAATGGAGTGCATATATATTTAAAAAAAAAGCTGTGATAATCCAGACATCCTGGATGAAACTTAATGTAACTCTTAGAAAAAATACAGCTGTCTTGAGTCCAATCTATGGCATACATATCTAAGACAAATACAATGGAAGAATTTATTTTGAAAATAATGCCCTTCATCAAGAGCACTTTGGAAGATGATGGTCTCCATTATAACAAACACTTTCTCCATTCTAACTAATCCAGATGGAATTTTGAAAAAGGTAATAGAAACTACTCAGGTCATCAAATATCTAATTTTTTTAAAATTTCAGTTATATGCAAGAGAGAAATCTATGCCAATTCAGGGAGAATCTGGTATTGCAACTTTTTCTTTAAGAAAAAGAGATTTTTTTTTTTTTAAATCAGAAAAGGAAAGAAGGAAGAAAAAGCTCTCTCTATGCCCATGTACTTTCTGTGTAGCTGTCCATGTATTTTCCAAAAACCCTGTAATTACCTAACCACTCATCCCATTTGGTTTCCCTTTCACTCCTATGACTAAGAGGAGAAAGAACTCTTTTCTAGTAATTTTCCATGCTTGCCTAATCAACATGGGTCAACTGAAAACTGAAAACTTAGAAGAATCATTATGTACATATGTCAGAATAGCCTTCAAAAGATAAGCAGTTGGTCTTATTGTTTTGTTGATTTGGTAGCCACAATGTAGAAAAATTATACTCCTCTTTCCCATTCCCCTGAGTGAAGAGATGCCATTCGACTTTTGATTGTATTTCCCAGCAAGGAAATAAAAGATCAAAAGGAAATTTCAGTTCCTAGCACTTGAAAGGCAGGCAAAACAGATCTCTTGTTTGGTTCAACCCCACGTGACTTTTGGCAGTGCAAAGCCCTTATACACAATGGGTCTATTTTCTATATAATTTTGGAAGTTGGATGCAGTAGTGTGGAAGTTCTTGTAGTCTTTTTTCTGGCCAAGGCAGCACTGACACCACTGTTTGTTCCTGGATGTCTCTGCTGGAGTTAATCTGAAATGATGCAAGAAACAAGGCAGAATATTTCATGTGGAATGTCCACTCTTCTGTCCAGCAGCTCTATTAGGCAATCACCTTACAGATTTCAGTACCCTGTAAATCACACAAAAAGTGGATTTAATAGCAGAGGTAAGGTTTCTTTGGAAATTATTCTGTAGGGTTCAGTATTCTCAGCATGTGGGATTTCTCTCCTGGTTTGAGCACACTAAAAATGAAACCTTAATCAACAGCAAACCCTTCATGTTTCAAGTATGTCTATTTAAATCAACTACAAAGGTAGGCAATGATTTTGAATAGAAATTAATCCTTTTCCATTTAAAGAATCAAGATTTCTGAGAACAATCCTGTTCAGCTCCTGGTAGATATATATAAACAAGGTCTGATCTGAGGAAAACGGAGTGTATTTCCAGTAAAGATAAATATTACAGCTTTAATCTACACTGCAAATTACATATGTTATTAAAACCAGACTCTAGAGAATGTATTTATTTATGAAGTAGTACTGTTTTCAGTCAGACTTTATCTTACTTTACCAGCACCTTTGTCAATACCAAGTATTTTAACTCCTAGACAACATGTTGCTGAGACTAAATAAACAGTAAAATTCACATCCATGTAGACAGTATTTTAGCTTGCTGCTGACACCAGATGCCTATTTTTTCTTGTCTTCCAAACTGTAAAATTAGGACATTGATGCTCATCTTTAAAGTGTTTTTTTTTTTTTTTTCTGCACCAGGATAAAAGTATTGAGAAAGCTGAGTGTAAGTCTCATATTTTACTGTATTGAATCTTGTTCTAAAAGATTCACATAAAAATAATTGGGGTCCTGGTATATTAAATGCTTTTTAAGATATCTTTTTTTCATAGAATAAAGCAATCTGGCCAACATATAGGAATGATCCTTTTATAGGTAATTAAACTTTTTTTCCAATTACAGTGTGGTTTTTTTTGTTTGGACTTATACGTTGATTATTGATTCCCAATAGACATTACTTTTCTAAAAGCATTAATTTATCTACAGTCCCCCAGACAAATAAACAACTCACTGCAAAATCCATTTCTTCTTCTTCAGTTAATCAACAAAAATTTAATAGACTAATTTCTTTTTCTTGTGATTTACATGGTGTCTAATGCTTTGTAATTCATGCTTTTAGTTTAAATATTGATTGGCTGAGCTAAAGTTGTGAAGTGTGTGCCTGAAAAAGCATGCAACTTTGTGTGTAACTTTTTCATATATTCAAGATGAAACTTAAGCTTGCTCTGTGAATTGGCACAGTGAAGTTAAGTAGGTATTATTAAGGTTTTTGTGCCAATCAAAACTGAAGCCTGGTTTATAATTTAAATCGTGCCAGCAAGGCATTGAAAATTGTTAGGATTTATTTATAATGACCTGTTACTGTTGGACACAGAGACATTCCTGCACCAACTGAGGCAGGTAACTATGCCATTGAGGAGTCTGCAGTGCAAATTTCAATGAAAGCTGACAGCAGACTATAGATGTAGAATGTATGATTGGCTTTCAAAATTTTCATTGAAAGGAAATAGCAGAAATAAATGAAATAATGCCATATGGCATTATGCTCATGATGGAGATTTCTTAACTAGACTAAATGTGAAATGTTCTTCACATGTCAATCATATCTGCTGGCATTTACATAAATTTGAATAAAGTATCTTGGGTTAACTTTTACTGTCTTGAAAAACAATGAATGATTCTGCACTCAATCTGTTCCAAGTTGCTCTAATGCTCCATTCCTGGTAATCAACAGAGTTCATGAGTCTGATTCTGCTTTCCCACGTTCTTTGTATAGTTTTTAAAAGTTCTAATACAAAGTGAGTAAATTTAGCATGAGTTTGAGTAAAGATTTCAAGCTGTATCCAGTGGTGACAGCAGTGCCACTAAATCCAGAAACTCACCTGGTAACAAAACCCTGACACTACAAGATCAAGATGTTAAAAAAGGTTGGGGATCATGACTTGCTTTTCAAAACAAAAGCAGAAAGAGAAGAAAGAAATCAGTTTTTTGAAAAACATTTAGCACGTTTTTCTTAGTATTTTGACAATATCTCTATTTTCCTTTATAAGAGTAAAGATGTCTTCATAAAAAGAATGTCCATGGTGGTTGCACTCTTTCATGTGGAGTAAAGATATATTGAATGAATAAGAGACCACAACAGATTTCTAGTGTCTGAGGTTTCAAAATAGTGCTGGAGAAACTCTCCTTAGGACTCTTCTTGTGGCTCAGTCTCTGCTCTCAGAGCAGCAATTCACCCCACCATGGTCTTGGTGGGGTGAACACAGCTCTTTTTCAATCAAGGACAAAAGTGAGGGAAAAAAAAAGAAAAATGATGGCTGAGCTGGCATAAGGACCTGAGATCCTAGGAGACACAGGAGACTATATCTCTCATTACAGAGATCTTCTCTTGGTGTACTGTCCTCTTTGTTGGTAGATGGAAGACCCTAGAATTGGTGATAAATCGCCACTTATATAAAATTTTTTGATGCAATAATTCTAGTGATAGATTTTTTTTTTACTAGATGTGGTCTTAATTTATTCCTGAAGATTTATCAGAATATGTAATAAAATCATAGACATATATTGTTCCTTTTGCCATTAATTTTGGCTGAAGGTTTCCTATGGAATTTGTGAAATAGGTGAGAGAGAAGTCTTGCAGACTGCACAGTGTTATCCATGCTTTCTTCATGCCCAGTGACTGAAGCAGTTACTGAAACAGACTGACAGAAAAGAAATAATATTCAGGATATTATATCAGAAACTTGACAGGTTATGTAGCTACAGGATATTCTCAAATGTGGATGCAGTGCTGAAATCCTGCACCACAAAGGAAGAATTTGAGAGTTCGTGCTGCCTCTTTTACACATGAATGTATGGGTAAAGAACACTCTAGTTATCCCACAGGAAGATACTTGCCAGCTGGGTGAATCTGAGGCTTCTGTTTTTTTTTTCTTTTTCCTCCTTGCAGACTGAGCATGCATTCAACAGTTTTCAGAACTGAATTCAAGGGACTTTTTTTATCTTCAATGTTCCCACATTATATGAGTCACAAATCCTCCTGCACTAAGCAGACAAAACACTTACTTTCAGAGAAAAATTCTTTACATATTTTCTAAGATACACTGATTATGTAAGCATAGTCAGTATCTTTATTCCATCATTCTTAATGAACAGTTTAAAAGTGATCTGTAGTTTCTTAGGTACAATGCTTAGGGATGTATGTCTGAAGACTGATTTCAAGTTCAGTACAAAATGTGAGGAGCAGAGATTGAAGTCACTATTAAGACAAAAAGCATTGCAATTGAAGACATCACACAGGAATCGTTGATCATTGAAGAGATGTTAATTCAGCACTTGTTGACTGGAACAAAAGGTATTTGAAGCTGCAGATGTTGAAACTCTAATTTTTTTAAAATTTCAAATGAAAGAGAGCAGTGCACTGGGACAGTCCATTGGACAGGGCTGTATGGAGGTACATCTTACACTTTTCATCCTAGGTGACCACTTAAAACACAATAAACAACAGTGACATTTCACCAGTTGCCAGACACATATCTAACAGCAGCAAAGTAGCAGCAGGAATTCCTGCAATCCTTCTTTCTTTTGTTTTAAACTATTAACTTTTGCAAAGAAAGGTATAGAGTGAAAAGATATGTCTACAGTCTTTAGAACATAAAAAGAACACATTGAATGAGTTTAATTTATAGAAGTACTGGAAGAAGTATTGGGAAATTTCCTTTATTCTTTATATGATGTGCATTGTCTTTTTCTGGTTTGTCCGGTATTTGATTACCTTTGTCCACTTGAGGTATGGATGCATTTATTTACTTTATCCTTTTCCAGACCTGTCTTTAGTTCTTTGGTTCTCTTCTGCTCTGTTAAATCCATCAGTACAAAAGTCACTTATCTGTGATGGTTTTTTTAAAAGTATGAACAAAGTATCAATTTACAGAAAAAGAGATTAAGGAATTATTCTGGCCTGGAAATTCAGGTTTTGTCATGTCATCTACATATCTGCCTTAAAGATCTTTGTTGTTTTTCAGCTATACTTGACTTCATGGAGCATTATAACGAGGGTGTATAAACAGAAAAGCTAAGACGTCAACAGACAAATACTGGGTTAAAAATACGATTTCCATCAATATCTGTGCATCTAGAACTTAAGAATTCTCAAACCTGAAGCGTATTCCTGTCTTGTTCCCAATCTGGCAAAACAAATTAGTGATAATTTGCATG